GAGAGAGAGAGAGAGAGAGAGAGAGAGAGAGAGAGAGAGAGAGAGAGAGAGAGAGAGAGAGGTAATGGACTTTGAGATTGCCTTCGTGAAGAATGTGCATGGACAGCCAACATGTTCCACAAACTCCTTCCGACTTATTTTATTTTTAATTAATATTTTATCCGTTTCAAATTTCAATTCTTTAGAATCCCTGTTAATATTATCTCTACTCCCGGTGAATCTCTCTTCATGCAAGTTTTCTCGTTTCTGCGCAATGCTGAATTTTCGGACCATGTTTTCTTCATCAAGTCTTAAAAAGTTAAAAGAGTTCCGTCATCTATCGACTGTACCTTCCTTTTTCCGTCAGCCTTGTCTTCCGTCATCTATCGACTGTACCTTCCTTTTTCCGTCAGCCTTGTCTTCCCACTTCTACATTACGTGGGTCTCACCCCCTTGTTCTTTTTTTTTTTTTTTTTTTTTAAACGGCGACGGCGTTGAGACATCATTCTACTGACTGGACCCAGGTGAATTCAGAGATGTCCATGTTTTATTTTACTCGTTAGATTGCATCTGGATTCGAACTCAGGTCTGTATCTCAACAGCTCAGCGCATGGTTGTACCAACTGCGCTATGCTGGTGGTTCTCCTACATTCAAATTAAAATGACTTGTCTAAATTAGTAAGTTACTAAATTCGTATATTTCCCGGGCAGAACCGGGCTGGCCCTTCTTTTAAAATTTAAAATTAAAACCAAAGTTTTTAAAAACTTTTTAGTTAAAAAACATTTACCAGCCAACACATTTAACGATTTAACATGGAAATTGTTTTTGCCGGTATCGCCTCTGGTTCTCATGTGGCAGAAAATCCGGATGTTAGCTTGCTGAAGGACTCTGCCCTCAATCGCATGCTAAACTTTGAGGTAGGTGTGTACGTTGAGATGAATTGAACAGCCTGCTTGCCGTCTTTTATGTGAGGGACACTGCACCCGGTTTCCTGCTTATATAATGAAGTCGATTGCCCATTGATTGGTGAAAAGAAGAAGAAGACGAAAATCGATGAAGAAGACTGAAGAAGAAGACCGAAGAAGAAGAAGAAGACAGAACAAGAAGAAGAAGACCGAAGAAGAAGACCGAAGAAGAAGAAGAAGAAGAAGAAGAAGAAGAAGAAGAAGAAGACCGAAGAAGAAGAAGAAGAAGAAGAAGAAGAAGAAGAAGAAGAAGAAGAAACAGCCTGTGTGCCCACCCCATCTGCCTCGCTTATCCACATACGTACCCCTCTTTTTTTTCCACCCACACATCAACCCATCCACGTATCTACCCACCCACCACCCACCCACCCACCCACCCACCTACCTACCCAGTCACCCATCGATCTATTCTATCCGTCCGCCTCCTCGTCTGCCTGCCTGCCTGCCTGCCATCCCATTCATCAAAAATCAGTTTGTTTGCCTGTCCTCAGTCCCACCTGTGGCACACCTGTCAATCTGTACAGCAGGATGAATGAACCAAACTCCCTTTTTGATACAGGTGGGCTTACTGTGTAAGAACTGTTGTGTGTGTTGTTGCCTTTTTGTTCTGCATCCAGTCAAGCAAGGACCAGCTCTCTGAGTACTTGTTTCAAATCATAGCCGGAACGTGCATCGAAGAGGCGGCGCCTCTTTGCCTCCCTCGGCGCAGAACAAGGGACGCTGCCCTACCAGAAAACCAGGGTGGAAAGGATGAGGAGGGACAGGGGAGCGATGACAAGTCGCGACAGGCCCGATGCGCGAGGAAAATGAAGACAACTGTGAGGAGACGAAAGGCTCAGGTATCGCCCATCAAAACTAGCCTGTCTCCCTCGAAACGCCAAGGACTTTTCGGCACCATCGAACCGGCGACTGTTCCTTGCGGAAACCAGCCTGAAAATGGACCTGAAGGTGGTGGTGTTGGCAGTGTAAGGCGGCAATTAGGCTCAAGAGCATGCGAGAACGGCGCGGGGTTGGGGTCGGAGGCAGAAGATCCAGACCTAAAGCAGCAGCCGGCAAGTCCGTCAACTCCACCCGCCAACGGTTGCAATCGCGGTGACCATCGATCTGCGAATCAATCTGACGGTGGCAGTGGCGGCGCAGCGCGGGGAAGGGTGACCGAGCTGGAGGAAGCAACGAGGCCAGAGTCAATAGAGCCGCCGAAGCAACAGCTGGCATGGCCTAGTTCGAGGGAGAGAGACTTCTCGTTAAGGCGTTTGCGTGTCAGCGTGCAGAGATTGCTGTCCATGGTGAGTGCACGTGTTCCACTTATCCAGATCATCATCATTTCTTAATTCTGGATACGGTGGATAGCAATTTAAAGATTTGTCATGTATATTGCCACCTTGTAGGTGAAGATACGCGCAGCACTTTGGAGATCATCATCATCTAATAACCCTAATAAAACTTAGTAGGCCGCGGGGCGACTCTCGCTTCTGCGATGGTCCACGTTAGTGTTTTTTTGCGACTCTCTCTTCTGCGATGGTCCACGTTAGTGTTTTTTGCATCGCTTAGCGTGAGACGTCCGATGTAAAATTCTGACGCGCGATTGTTTTCAGTGAGACGTCCAATGTAAAATTCTGACGCGCCTGACGCGTTTGTTTTGTTTTGGGCAAGCGTTTCGTTTTGTTTTTTGAGTTTTGCCTTCTTTTATCGTTACTTTTGGAAAAGAGGTCGGGCGTTCGAATCCTTTAAAGTAGCCTGTAGTGGCCATCGAGTGGGGGTTTCCGAGTTGCGGTGATTTTTGTTTATTGTTTTTGGTTTTCTTTTCTTTTGTCTGACGCGCCTGACGCGACGGGCCTGACGCGATTGTTTTGTCTCTCTCTCTCTCACACATACACACACACACACGCACGCACAAAAAAAAAAAAAAAAAAGTAAAAGAATGTGGCAGTGTATATTTCCATATTCTAGCGGAAGATTCATTCCGATTTTGCTCATC